TTCTCTTCTTCACAATGGTCAGCTCAACGTCCGTTCCGTGCCCTCCACCACCAGCCACCCCAAGCGGTGGCCACGGCCACAAACCCCACCCACCATCAAAGGGAACGTGCCCTGAAGATACTCTAAAGTTAGGAGTGTGTGCCAATTTGTTAAATGGCTTGGTGAACGTAGTTGTTGGAACCCCTCCACAAACTCCATGCTGCTCCCTTGTCCAAGGTCTAGCCGATCTCGAGGCTGCAGTTTGCCTTTGCACTGCTATTAAAGCTAAGGTTTTGGGCATTAACCTTAATGTACCAGTTTCCCTCAGCTTGTTGCTTATCTACTAATTAAAAAATTGAGAAAAATGAACTTTTATTCACTTCATATTGATTACAGATTACATTGGTTTATATAATAGTAATGGAATATTCTAGAATTAACAAAGAATATTGAATCCAACTAAATCATGCAGCTGGTTAACAGAATTCAAACCAATCCCTAAAAATTAGGAAATGCAACATTGCTGTGGTCCTTTCCTTCATGTCGTCAGCTGGCAGGAATAATTCTAACTCCCCCCTTCAAGGTGGAACATGCTCGAATACTCCAAGTTTATCCCTGAGCAGTTGGAACCTTGAGTGTGACATAGGTTTAGTCAAGACATCTGCTGTTTGGTCTGAGGAAGGGATATACTAAATTTTCAACTGATTCTCAAGCACTTTATCCCTTACAAAGTGTGCATCTATCTCTATGTGTTTAGTGCGAGTGTGGTATACTGGATTAGATGCTAGAGCACTTGCACTTTGATTATCACACCAAATAATTGGAACTGAAAAATGACAGATTCCCAATTCGCCCAACAGAGATTGCATCCAAGTTATCTCAGCACTGCAATGAGCCAAAGCTCTGTATTCTGCTTCTGTGCTCGACCTTGCTACCACGTGTTGTTTCTTAGAGCTCCATGATACTAAGTTGTCACCAAGGTATACACAATATCCAGCAGTCGACCTCCTGTCATCTGGGCAAGAAGCCCAGTCAGAATCTACAAAGGCAATGATGTCAAGACTATCATTCCTTTGGATGGTAAGTCCATAGCTTAGTGTTCCTTTGATGTATCTGAATACCCTCTTAAGGGCCTTCCAATGTGCATCTATTGGTGCCTGAAGGTACTGACTCAGCCTATTTACAACATAGGTTAGGTCTGGTCTGGTATGGATTAAGTATTGGAGACAACCTATTGCACTTCTATAAAGAGTGGGATCCTTCATTAGTTGACCTTCAGCTTTGGAGATCTGTTTTCCAATGGCCATAGGTGTGGGGCTAGGCTTCAAACTTTCATAGCCAAACCTTCTTAGCAAGTCAGTGGCATACCTGGTTTGCCTCAGATGTAAGCCAACTGAATTTCTTGTAACTTCAATCCCCAGAAATTGCTTAAGCTCTCCCATATCCTTCAGTGCAAAGCTATTGTTGAGTTTGTCAATAAACTCTTGTAGATGCTAATCATTATTACCTGTGATCACTATATCATCAACATAAATTAAAGCAAACAAGATATCAGTTTCTTCTGACAGAAAAAATAGGGAATTATCAGCCTTTGATTGTCTGAATTTCCACTCGAGTAAGGTTTGCTTCAAGTTTTCATGCCAGGCCCTAGGCACTTGTCTTAGTCCATACAATGCCTTTTTGAGCTTGCATACGTGACTGGGATGATTTTTGTTGACAAAACCTTGCGGCTGATTCATGTAAACAACCTCCTTCAAGCTGCCATTGAGAAATGCATTATTTATGTCTACCTGCCTGATCTGCCAATCCTTTGACACAGCAAAAGTCAAAATGATTTTGAGTGTTGCAGCCTTAATTACAGGACTAAATGTTTCACTGAAGTCGATTCCAGGGGTTTGAAGGAATCCTTTAGCTACGAGTCTGGCTTTGTGCCTTATAACCTTCCCATTTGCATCAACCTTCAACTTAAACACCCATTTGTTCCCTATGATTTTCATCTCAGCTTTAGGTGAAACTAAAGTCCATGTGTCATTCTTCATAAGGGCATTGTACTCTTCCTTCATAGAACTTTTCCAACTGTTGCTTGCTAATGCCTCATCAACACTAATTGGCTCAATTTCATACAGTTCATCTGCTACCACACTTGAATAGATCTTAGGCTTAAAAATCCCAGCGTTGCTTCTGGTAACCATTTGATGTCCATGATCCTGGTTTCTTTCATCCACAGCAACCTCACCTCCTACATTCTAAATTTCATTTTCATCAAGCTGAAGTTCTGGCTCTTCAATTATTATCTCTAATTCATGATTTCCCTCATCACTTATTTCAATTTCACCATCCTCAGTTTCAGTTTCACCAGTAAAAGGAGCTGATGCAGGAGTTACTTCAGGTAGAATTGTATGATCTGCAGTTACATTTTGAGGAGTGGTATTGTTAGCTGGATCAATGACAGGGAGGCAGCTTATTCCACTATCACAGGTCTGAGGTGGAGAACGTTTATTTAGGAAACCGATTTTGAATGGGAAATCAAGTTCATTAAAGACCACATGCCTTGAAATGTAGACCCTACCACTAGGACTTAGACACTTATATCCTTTGTGAGTGTCACCATAGCCAAGGTAGACACATTTTTTAGAATGAAAAGAGAATTTATGCCTCTGATATGGTCTGAGACATGGAAAGCATGCACAGCCAAAGGTTTTAAGTTGTTTGTAATCAAAATCTTTGTTGAACAGAACTTGATAAGGTGATTTATTGTTCAAAACAGAGGTTGGTAGTCTGTTAATCAAGAATGTTGCTGCCTTAAAAGATTCCAACCAATAGTAGAGAGGCATTTGAACCTGGGCTAAGAGAGTAAGCCCAGTCTCTATGACATGCCTGTGTTTACGCTCAGCTCTTCCATTTTGGACTGATGTATAAGGGCAGGAATGCCTAAGTTCTATGCCACAATCAGTTGCCAGTTTGTTGAAATTTCGAAACTCACCACCCCAATCAGATTGTAGAGTTTTAATTTTTCTATCTAACTTGTTTTCAATAAGGTTTTTGAATTGGGAAAAGGTGGTTAACGCTTCAGATTTTTGTTTCATGGGATAGATCCATGTGTAACGGCTATAGTCATCCACAAAGATTATATAGTATCTAAAGTCTGTGGTTGAATTTAAGGGAGCAGGTCCCCATACATCAGTATGGATGAGCTCAAGTGAATTAGTGGCATGTGACTGTGAAATATTGAAAGGACGAGCATGAGATTTTCCAGATTTGCAGGAATCACAAAAGGTGGGAATTTCATTAGATTTAATTGTTTTATTACAGGACTTAAAGACTTGACTCAAAACATGATTTGAAGGGTGTCCAAGCCTTCTGTGCCAAAGGTCTAAATCTAAAATAGAATTTCGTTCAACTGGTAACTCTTTGTCATAGCAAGGTTAGGTTGTAAAGCACTGATAATTATTTGGGTGAACTGACTCGAGTGAGGTTGACTTGAAAATTGGTAACTGCAGCTGATACAATCCGTCCCTAAGTGTTCCTTGTTGCAGGGTCCTCTTCGTCTGGAGATCCTTCACAACATAGAAATCAGCATAAAATTCCATGAAAACACTATTGTCACCAGTTAACTGAGACACACTGACTAGGTTTCTCTTTATCGATGGAACATGTAAAAGTTTGTTTAACTTAAGTGGTTTATCATTCAGTGCAGATATCTTACCACTTCCAATATGAGCAATGTGTAACTTATCACCATTACCAACTACCAGCCTTTCATTACCTTCATATTTTTTAACAATATTGAAGTTACCTTTATCTGTTGTCACGTGATTACTCGCACCAGAATCAACGAACCAAGCTGGATCTTCAAGTATCTTTGGTGATACAACATAGGCTGACGGTGTTGGGTTGAGATTTTGCTGTCCAGAGTTGACAAGTTTGCCTTCCATATACCTCTCATCATACCTGTTATAGCACCAGCTTGCAGAGTGATTACTTAAGCCACAGATTTGACAAGGTCCTCTGGTTTCACCTTGTCTTCCAGTCATGTTTCTTCCTCTGTCCCTTGTTCTACCCCTAAAGCTTGGGGTTCTGCTACCACTGGTTCCTCTAAAACCTCTGCCTAAGCCTAAACCAATTCGATGAGCTAATTGCACGCTTGATTGATTGATACTGAGTGATGTGAAGTTATTCTTCACTTGATTCAGGTGCTCAAGCCGACTCTCAAATGTCATAAGGACTGACGATAATTCATACCAGGAAATAGCTTCCCTACTGGTTATCTGAACCACAATGGGTGTATACTCATCATCAAGACCTGACAGAACTTGTGTAATAAGATCACTTGGATCAATAATCTTTCCTGCTATTTCCAGGTTATCAGCCAGTTGCTTGGTGGTTGATAGATATTGATCCATTGTCGTAGAACCTTTCCTGATTCTTTGCAACTCACCAGTCAAGAACATTACCCGTGATTTGTTCAATATTCCAAAGCTTTCTTCCACTGCTATCCAAAGTTTGTTTGATGTATTACATCCCATGACTTTCATGGCAATTTCAGGAGTCATAGACGAATATAACCATCCCATGAGCAGCTGATCAGACGAGTTCCACTTCTGAAATTCTGGATTAAGAGTCATCTCCACTGCCTCTCCCTGTCCGACAGTGGTTTGGGTGGCTAGAAACTTAGGTGGACACTCCTTTGTCCCCAACAAGTATCCTTCAAGGTTGTGCCCTTTGATTATGGGCATAATCATATTTTTCCATAATAAGAAATTATTTCTATCAAGCTTCACTGAGGGTGATTGAGTGATGTTCATTCCATATGTTAAGCCTTGGACAGCAGCTGAATGAATTGCTGGTGCTGTGTTGAATTCAGACTGATTGCCGGATCCGGTGTTAGCCATTTTTGGCTCTGATACCAAATTAAAAAAAACTGAGAAAAATGAACTTTTATTCACTTCATATTGATTACAGATTACATTGGTTTATATAGAAGTAATGGAATATTCTAGAATTAACAAAGAATATGGAATCCAACTAAATCATGCAGCTGGTTAACAGAATTCAAACCAATCCCTAAAAATTAGGAAATGCAACATTGTTGTGGTCCTTTCCTTCATGTCGTTAGCTGGCAGGAATAATTCTAACTCTACTGTGGAAAGAAAGTCCCATCTGGCTTCCAATGCGCATAAACCAACACTATTTTGCCTCCATTTCAAGTATTTACAAGTCTTTCTATATGTTTCTATCTATGTTTTTTCTTCATATTTCGTGATGAGATTTCTTAAGGGTATTGTCTGAGATTTTTTGATGGCAGTCAGTTCTAAGGTTTTTGGGTATTCCGTTGATTAAATGCAAG